TAGTTGTTCTGGTGTTTTGACAGTGACTTGCATGTATCAAGTATTTATAAATGGCCCCCTTGTGAGCTTGTACAGTGGGCAGTTCAGTATAATGTCATCTGCATCGTCTCTGTTATATTAGTTCCAACGAGTAGCGGATTTCTGCATCTTAGGTGTCATTTTCAGCGTAATTAGCAAGAATTTCTTGGAATTTTGCGGGGATTGCCCTGTGAGATATATCTAGCGCTATATTTAGCAGTCTTTTTGAATAGATTGTTATTTTATTTTATAGCGCATCACTGTCTAACCAGGAGTTGGATGAAACAAGATCACCAATTTTGGTGATACCAGCATCACGGAAGTGAGTGAAGGTAAGTGGTGTATTTTGAATGGGGTGTAGGACTAGTTTATTATATAGGAGGGGTTCTTGACATACTTTATTGTATGTGGTTGGCATATCTCTCCTTATTGTTGTTATTGAGGACCAAGTTTGTAATAGGTCACAGTAGTATTCGGGGGTGTTTATGAAAGAATATGAGACATTTGTAATAAATAAACCCATGATACATAGTTCCCTTTTTACGATAGCATCCTAAGCCAAATTCTGAAGTAAACAACTTAATTTCAATAATACACTAATATGCTATTCAGAAAGGTGTGATATAACATCGTAACAATCAAAGCATGTATTTACTATGTAATCCCCGTGATCTGCGGACAACACATATCATGTCCGATTATCGCATCACATTTAACATACATCATGCCCTTCACTCATAATATTAAGTTACCTTGTGAAATGCAGTTTACTTCATCAGATCGATCAGGACAGTCATTGCGCGCATTACATCGATAATAAGGGTCGATACATGTACCATCGTCACATATAAATGAGTCACTAGGACAGTAATCTAAAACAAATAAGACTCGAAATAAATGTGTGGATCCATTAGAGGATGTATACACACTTCAATTTAAAAGTATTGGCACAACGTGATTACAATGTTTTACATGCCATTTTGCCTTATCTGTCTTTTGCTATGTTTTCGTTCAGTTCATTTCATATATGTTCACCAGCGTACATAGCTATATCAAGATATTTGCCATGTGTCATCACATCATGATAATTAAGTGCATATTATTGTATACATGCTACCTTTTGTACATATGTTTCTATATACACCAGCATTGCAACTTTCACGCCTGACATCCGGGTCAGTTGTATAGCACCATGGTTTCTTGTCGCCATTTGGGTTTCTGCAGTAATTATGATCACCTAATCCTTTAGTAGGGCGGTGGTTTTCAGGCTTCATCTGATGTCGGTGCGGAAATTGATCAGACCATTTCTGACATATCCTACCACTTACAGTCCGGTTGATGTTTCCTCTGTAGTCAATGCCATTTCTGGTCGTGTAACATTCTCTGCCTGCATGGTGAATGTATATATCACAGTTTAATTATGTATGTATGGAACTAATTACAAGTTGAAAGAATTACTGACGAAAATCTCGCAGTGTGATATTCAAGTTGGATGTATAGCATGACTATCATATGCCGAACCACGTGTGTAACACATGTGCGCGTAATCGCTAATTACTTACGATAATTACAGCCCCATTCATCACTCCAATCACCACAGTCATTTACATAATCACATCGATGATACAGATTTACGCATTTCAAATTAACACAGCGGAATTTGTCTTCACACTTATCTAAAAACACACAATGATTGCATTATAAAACTAAGTCATGATAATTCTTGAACTTTGTTGAGGCTTAGCTATGTTTAAGTCACGTGTTCTGCTGAAGGTTCTGGACTGTTGATAGCTCCAATCGGTGGTTCCCTGGCAAAACGATTATTTGCTCACCTTCAAATTCATGGACGATTTGATCATGTAAATAACGAGTCTCGAATTATAGACTAGATGGCATCTATAATCGTACGATTTTGAAAAAATCTACAAAACATGGACTCGGTGTAACGTGTTATGGGCGGGCTTTGCGTAAGAGATAGTATGCGCGTGCGAGTTCCCATGGTAATGTACTTAAGTCATAGAGACAGCCAATCAGTGATGACACAGAATTGTTCGCCGACTACGTAGTTACATAGCGGTTCACCAGACCATTTGTGAGTGTACTCAGAATGTCTGGATTTCAAGCTACTCAAATTATAGAAACAATGGGAATATTTAGCTTTTCCGTATCCATATTTACAACGACATCCATGTATCGTGTGTATGCTAAATACTTGATATAAACTATTAGAGATAAATAGAATTGCAAATTATGTTTTACTATCACCTTACCTATTTGACAACCGCGTTCATCACTGTTATCGACACAGTCGATAATACCATCACATTGGAGAGACGCATGTAGACACTCCCCACTATCGCATTTGAAACCACGACAAACAACTGAAATTAATAAAATCATGATATTATAACATCTTAACTCAGACCCAGTGACTGCACCTCTTTCTCAGTTCGAGGAAGACGCTGAAATATATGGTAGAAAGTAATATAAAACTAGTTAACTTTAACTACATTTCTTGGAGCGATAATGAGTTAATGCATTGCAACTAACAGCACAAATAACATAACTCGAATCACGACACGACAGATTGGATAATTCACCATTCGACCAATCACATATATACTTATATTATGATATATACTTACTGCATGTTTTCTCAGATTCGTCAGTACCAGCATGGCAATGGTTGTACCCATCACATACTAGATCATTACTGATACACATTCCATGTATTCCGCCATCCTCGCCTCTGAATTCATCTACACCACAGTCTGTGTTAAACGTAAGCCAATTGAGTTAGTATAATGTGTGTCAGGCTTATAGCATATATCAGACGTATAACATACGTTTATTAATTATAACAGTAAGTATGGTGACCTTACCCAGGGCCAATAATTCAATGTCCTATCATGAACGATGTGACGTACGCATGTCACGTGAGTATATTGATAAGTTCTATACTTTAATTACGTATTCACTCACCATTACTGCAACGAAGTTCGTCGCTGCCATCGGGACAGTGGATTTTACCGTCACAAACGAGCCAACTTTTCAGGCATGTCCAACCATGCTCACATGCAAAATCACCTTCTAAACATTCCGCTAAGAAACATGAGAAGAACGTTATTAGTTGTATACATAACATCATGTGACGATACTGGACGTGGTTGTACACCTCTGCATACATAATTATACCTTGTATACTTTGCCAATAGTTTGTTTTATAGAATACTCCCAGTTCGGTTCCCGTTGTTACCCATGTCTCTACGCTCATGTAACAAGAGTTGTCAGGTACGATGTGGTCCACCGAATGACAAATAAACGGGGGTCCACGCAAACAAGACCGTAAACACTCGTCCAATCCTTCCCCGCGTAGTATAATATCGTTGTACGCAATCAAAGCACGTGACACTGTACGATTGAACTGGTTTACAGGGAAATCTGTAAAATAGTTGAACAAATTAAATGTATTAATATATTTTCTCATTGTTGAATTATTTATATTGTACATGTAAGTTATTTTACAGTTGCAAGCCAATTTTGTTTATATTGTGATCTGTCATTAATTATTGTAATCACTGAATACGATGTGAAAATACTGTCGGTGAGATTTCTTATGAACTGTACGCACTACAAATCCCTCCGGCTTATGGTGATTACATGGGTCAGTGAGAGGTTTTCTACAGATTATACAAAGTGGCAATGCAAATTGTATGCATATACACATGATGTAGATCTTATAATATACGCAATGCATCACAAGGTGACTAGTTAAATAATCCAAAACATCTGGCGTACAGATAGATGTTGTTATTGCTTAAACATATCAGTAAATTACAACCAAAAAGCATGTTTGAATAATATATAAATTATATAATTCGGTCGATATATACTTCGAGTGGTTCTGGGGATTGTTGAAAAAAAACAATATATAAAAATAATCTTCATCTTGTAATATTTTTATTTTACTTTATTATGTTACAAATTTGTTTCACATTCTTTTTTCTCACATTAGCGCACGGTGTAATGTTGCAATCGATTTTCTTCTGTAACATGAAAACAAATTCAATATCAATATTTTGGTTCAATGCTGCAACCCACAATATATATGATAAATCGTTATATCTATCAGCGACCATTGTGCATTGACTATTTATACATGTAGTTATTTAAATATTAATATTAATAGCACTTACCTGGAACAAACTGCGCATGTATATATTGATTATTGGGAATAATGTTTGTGGTAATGTTGGTATTGGCTGGACCATTATGGTAACAAGTGCCCATTAAATAGTAATCGATTGATTGACAATCCAATAATGGATTCTTTAGACACAAAAACAAACACTCCTCTAAAGTCGATACACTATAATAGGTGACGTCACGAGGAATTGTAGATGTGTATCCCTTGTATGTCTTGAACTGGTTGTACGGAAATATTTCTGAAATACGATAGAATAGAGTAAATTCAAATATTTACTGTTGGTGTTTGCGTGTGGATGATAGACATTTATTTCCACGTACGGGGACTACTGTCAAATGTTGTTAATCAACTTTTCGTCTGGCTAATCCTTCTTTCACAATTCACGATTTTGACATCTGCTCACCTTTATTGACTTCAAAGTGAACGTAGTGGTTGCTGTGTTTTAATTCAATTTGGCTTGACCACTTTGTTTGTGAATTAATGTAGCATATCCTTCCCGTAATCCAATAATCCACAGATCTACACAAGAATCGCCTTTCCGTCAAACATGACGATAAACACTGGGCTTCGTCAACATTTGTCAGCTTCACTTCGTATGCGTAGAGTAAGGCTTTACCGTTATGGCGTGTAAACTCCGTGTACGGATAGTTTGCTATGGGGTTAAGATAACAATTAATTACAATTATTATACATGCACATAGTCTATATCCTGTGGAAGCATTTATAATAAGTCAAGTTAGTTTGGTAACATTCACATGGTTTACGGACAGAATTGCGAGCTACACTAATAATGTCCACTCGTTACAGTCTAAACTTACGAGCAGTAATTCATTTACAGACATATTAACTAAATAATTTAACACAATTTGCAATTAATCATCCGAACTACGATATTGGTTAATTTGATAAATACCTCGTAAGGTATATATAAACACAGCTGAACTGTTCAATGAGTGTACTTGAAGCACTGATTTTTTTATTTATATATTTAATAAAATAATGAAATTTACAGGAAACATGGAAAACTTGGAGCATTTGTTCAAATAATGTTGTTTGATGTTGTATTTTGTTAAAGACATTAGCGTATGATGTGTTGTAAATTACTAATAATGTCATAGTTCAATGAAATACTGAAAACACGAAATCCTGGACGCATATATATTTTTCAGCATTTCTTCGAAAGAACACTGCTGCCAAAACAAAACGTTAAAAACGTTATTTTACGATAAACTGTGATAGGTATCTTTGATGGTTAAAAACCTTTCACTTAGGTAACCGCGATTCGGTCGTTTCCACGCTAGGCTGACAAAAAACACACACGAGCTTCATTCATGTTCCCAAACGATTCTCTGCCAAGTCCCTGGTTTTCACCCGAGACAGCATTAAATCACTCTTTATTTCTTGTCACTCCTTAACCAATTACAATCAGTATAAGAGACTCCAAGGCCTTGCCTTCAAACAAACAACCAATCACATGAAAGTTTTACACATCATAATCAATTAATTACTCGTCAAGCTATCTAGAAAAACACTACTATATATTGTCAACACCAACTAATATTTATGGGGTAATAGTCTTGCACTAACATTTCACAAAGATACCGCCTTAGTTATTGCACTAACATTCCACAAAGATACCGCCTTAGTTAGAATCGCAAACAAAATTGGTTTAGGATTACAGCTACTGTATTGTATCTTAAAAACTGCAGAGTCATAAGATGTTTTTGTTTGATTTCGACCAGCTCGCCATCTGGTCT